TGTCAGTGCAGAGTGATCTGACACACTGAATGCCTGCACACCAGGGGAGAGCTGGGGCTCAGAGACAAGCTGCTGCTGCTCTCTGCAGGAAGGAAGACTAAGTGATGTCTATACCCCTCCTTCTTCTTGGTGGGTAGATGGGGTGGGGGAGTAGGAAGAGGACATGTTACTGCCCAGCAGCCATGAGTTGATGGTGAGTCAGGCTTCAACCTGGGAGCAGGAGCAGGCCCCTTGGGCAACATCCTTTGAGGCCAGATATGGTGAGCAAGGCTGTGTCACACCCTCTGAGGTTGAGGTGGAGGGTGGCAGATCTCAGTGCTGCCAGTGTCCCTGCAGAGATAGAGAAGCCCCTCCCAGAACTTCTCCCACTCCCTTCTCTTGCCCCATGGCCCAGTGAAGGGAACATCAGGGAGTGGCCATTTTAGGCAGCCACTGCTGCTCATTCAAACTATGGTTCATAGAGCCCCTAGCCCAGTTCCCAGAGTTTTGGATCCTTGGTGGGCAGTATTACCCTAACTGCCCTTCTGCACATTGTACAGTTGTCGAAGGCACAGCTGGGCAAAGCTCTTCTGGAGGAGAAAGTTCCTTCAGAGGCACAGAGCCCACAAAGCCCTGCCTTTCTGAGTCCCCTGCAGTCTCCTGGCAGTGACTCTCTACAGGAGGGTTTTGCTGCCCCCATACCCAGTCTACCTCTTGGCCCTATACACCACACTGAACCTTCCCATCTTCATTATTGGCCAACCCCCACTGGGCTGGGGTACTTGGGTGTCTATGGAGCCCCCAACCAGCCCTCTGAGATGATAGGATGAGTCAGCTTGACAAAGGCTAGTGTCTGGCAGAGCTGTCTGCCTGGGAGAAGCCCACCTATAGCTCCTGGGGACATAAGATTTGTGGTTGGTGGCCTGAACATTTCCTGGCCATGTGACAGGTCAGACTCATGAATATATTGGTCTATAGGACCCTAAGAGAAGTTTTCTGTCACACTGGTAGGAGGCCATTCCCCTGACTCTGAAGGGCAGCTGGCTGAGAGGGTGCCAAGGAGCCACAGAGGGCCTCTTGGGCTTAGCCCCTTGGCAAAGAGGCATAACTATGTGTGGCTGAGAAAGGCTCTAGCTACTGCTGGACCCAGGGCCAGGGGAGTCTGTCTGAGGCCTTGCCATGGATGCCCAGCCTCGGGGGGCAGGCAGGCCAGGGTGCATAGTCCTTTCTCTCCCTGCCTAGTGGGTAGACCCCATACCTCAGTACAGATGGGAGACTTGGAGTAGAGATGATGAAAATAAGGATGGGCCCCTCTCAGCAAGCTCCTGGGGATCCAGAAAGGAAAGTCTTGCTGGGTACAGAGACCACCTCAGCCATTATCCTCCTTAGGAGACCTTGCATATTGGGCCGCTCTGCCTAGCCCTGAGCCTGGGAGGGAGAGGGAGGTAGAAGGGTGCGGTCAAAACTCCTCAACTTTGTCTGGAAGAGACTGGATAGAAATAGCTGCACCCATCTGGGCGATGAGTCACTGAGGGGTGTTTCAGCCTTTTCTTGGAGAGGTTCTATTTTAGGTGAGACGCCTGTGACACAGCCTGTGATGTGGAAGGGCTGGAGAAGGGAAGGTTCTGGTGGTGAGTGCAGGAGTTTTAGCACATGCCCTTGTTTGGTCCTGTCTAGAACCCAAGGGAGGGTCACCCTGAAGTCCCAGGATAAGAGGTCTTACCACCAGATACCACCTTGGGACATGCTGCATCCTTGAGTACCTATTTTAATAACTGAGTCTGTGGCTTCCCTTGCAATATGAGATGGACCCCCCCCCCCGGTTGGGGTGTGGGGGGTGGTGTCCCTTCCCAGGGTCACTCTCAGGATGAGCAGAAATGGTCTGCCCTTGGGATCTCCCACCTTGACAAAAGTGAGCCCCCTCCTTCTCTCCCAGCAATGACCTTTCTAAAGGTCTCAGGGACAGCAGTTTGCTTCTGTGGCTCTGTCTGCCCAAATGTAGACAAAGCAGCCTTGGGTCTTAAAAAGCATCAGAGTGAGTTAACAGTTCCCAGCTGGGGGAATGGCTTCATACCTTAGTGCTTTCGCACCACTGTGCTCAGGGCTTCTAGAACTAGTCTTGGTCTTTGGGGGGTTCTGCTAGTGTTTTGAAGGGGCAATTTCTAGACCGTGACTTAGAATGCCTTAAGGAGTGGCCTTAAAAGGTACAAGAATACAGGGACCACAAGCCCTAGGGTACTAGGCTCTAGGCTGCCAAGGCTGTGGATCAGGGGCTGTGCAAGGCTGTCAGGGCTAGTCCTTCTGGCAGCACCCCTTCCTAGTGCAGTAACTCCAAGAGCATGTCACTAAACCATCTCAGACCTTGGTTATCTCTCGTTGCCATCAAAGTGACTCCTACTCATAGCGACCCCCACTGGGTTTCTGAAGCAGTAAATCTTTACGGAAGTAGATAGCCCCATCGTCCTTCTGTGAAGCAGCTGGTGGGTTTGAACCACCAACCTTCTGGTCAAATGCCTTAGGCACTGCACCACCAGAGCTCCTTTTCATTTTCTCTATTGTTAGGAAAAAATTAGAGAATGTCTGTGAGCATTCCCTGAGTAGTACTTGACACCAAGGGGGTGCTCACAGAGGGCAGTAGCCCTCCCATTCCAGGGATGCTGCTCTCAGGCTGCTGGGGCAAGACAACCAAGCCCAAGCTTCCCAACTGACAAGTCAGCCATAGCAGCAGTACTGCTATGTGGCCTCAAGGCAGAGAGCAGGACTGAAGTCATCCCTTAGGGTAGCTAGAAGGGGCCTTCTGCCCTAGGGACAGAGATTAGATCTCTCTCTGGTAACTGGACCATTATGGTGCATATGGAGCCTCTGGCCACAACCACAGGTAGGGGAGCAGCCTTGACCTCCAGCCTCAGCTGTGGCCACACAGGAGGACTCTCCTCATCTAGTCACAGTCCTGTGGCTTCAGTCTCATGGAAGTTGTACCTCATATTAATAAGTTGTCAGGTTTAATTCCTCAAGCAAACTTCTCTGGGATGAGCCCTGGTCTGTACCACTGTGCTCTGAGAACACCCAAACAACAAGAGCTCACAGGTCAGTTGGGGAGGCAGGAGACACCCAAGTAAACAAATTAATAGATGGAGCTCTGGTCGCATAGTGTCTGAGACATTTGACTGCTAACCTAAAGGTTGGCAGTTCAAACCCACAATCCACTCAGCAGAAGGAAGAAGGGGCAAAGATTTACCACCTTGAAAGCCCAGTGGGTGTCACTGTGAGTCAGAATCGACCTGATGGAAGTGGGTTTGGTTTTTGGTTTTGGGAAAGAATAAGAACTGTGAAGAAATTAAGCTGGGTGATTTTATACAGATCACCTGGTGGGGAAAGGGGATGTTTTTTGATTGTGCCAGGGATGTCCTGTTGGAGAAGTGATACCTGATCTAAGACCTATACAACAAACTGCACCAAGAGTGCTTGGGGCAGAGGGAGTAGTAAGTGCAAAGGTGCAGAAAGAAGCTCAGAGGGCCACTTGGTCAAACAGGAGGCCTAGTGTGCTTGGGACGGGAGCCATTGGGAAGTGGCAGGGAAGGAGGCCAGAGAGAGGAAGGCTGGGGTAAATCATGGAGGCTCTTGGGCTGTGGTAAAGACCTCCCATGGTAAGTGTGCTGGGAAGCCATTAGAAAGGTTAGAACCTGTAAGTGATATGCTCTGATTTACATGTGGGTGTTTTTGAAGAAAAAAAAAAAAAAAATTGGCTCATGTAACTGGAAGTCCAAGATTACACTGAAGGCATGGCTAAATCCAGGGAATTACATGAAGTCATCAGATCTCCTTCTTTCTCCCTTTCTTGGATTCACTTGCAGCCATCCATGGACTTGATTCTTAGCATCTCTCTGCATGCTGAGAAAGAAGGCTACTGACCACTCCAAGGCTATATCCTTTTGACTGGCAATCCAAAAGGAAAAAAGACTCTGTCTTCCGCTGTTCATTTACAAGATCATGTGGAAAGGCTTCAGTTGGTCCTGTTTGCAAGGTCCCATGCCCATCTCTGAACCACTAGCTGCAATTAGTGAGTGGCCCAGCTTGAGTCATGTGCCCAGTATGTATCCAGGGAGAGATCAATGACAGAGAAAAATGCCATGTCTATCACACGAATAGCAGCATGTGTCTTGTTTGTTCTAGAAGCACAGATTATCCCGTTTTCTTTAACAATTTGTCTTCCTTAATGAAAAGAAAAAAAGAAAAAATCTTTACTTCATTCTACTTACATCACTGACCTCACATTACTTTGCTCTCGTTTCTCTCTCAAGTTTCTTCATATGTATCTTGTCTCCATAACTAAACTATAAGCTCCTCCAAGAATCATGGTTTCTTTTTATTCTCTCTGCTTTCCTCACCCACCTGTTACTCTTCAATTAATTATTCTTTCTGTAAAATTTTTATTGAATACCTATTGCATATTGTGTCTGGGCCATGTTTGGGGCCCTCAATTCTGTGACGTTCTCATTCAGGTCCTTGCAAAACTGAGCCATGCTTTGCCTCCTGATTTATGTTTGAAAAGATTACTCTGGCTTTTGTGTGGAAATAGCCTGAAGAGGGCAAGAGGGGAAGGAAAGTGAGCCATTGGAGGCTATTGGGGTCATCCAAGCAGGAGGATGAGAGTGTGGATTGGTAAAGCAGGGATGACGTACACAGATCTGGGGCATGCTGAGTTACAGGCTGTGGGAAGGACTCTGGAGCAGGAGGGTCTGAGTAGGCAGAGGGTTGGTGGTTGAGGGGGGAGATGGAGTATGTGGCTGCCTCTGTTCTGCCCCACACATCTGGCAACTCCTAGAGGGCAGTGCAATGCCATCTGCTTTATTTAGCCCCTTTTACCCCTTTCTCCCTGGCTGCCCAGAAACACCTGAGCAGAATGTGGTGTTCCTGCTGGTGCTAAGAGATGGCCCTGGCTGCCATGAGCCTGCACTGACCTGGGCCATGGGCACAGCCAATCCTGGCCACCCTGCTGACCATGGTACTTCTCTCCCCAGGTGAAGGAGTGGCTCTGTCTGAACTGCCAGATGCAGAGGGCTCTGGGGATGGACATGACCACTGCGCCTCGCTCCAAGAGTCAGCAGCAGCTGCACTCCCCGGCTCTGTCTCCTGCCCACTCCCCAGCCAAGCAGCCCCTGGGAAAGGGGGAGCCAGAGAGACCAAAGGGCCAAGGAGGACCACAGCCCAGCCCCCGCCAGGCTGAGTCGGCCAGGGCAACCTCAGTGCTGGGACCTGCCCAAGCAGCTGCCCCTCTAGAGGCGGGGAGAGTGTCTCCTCAGCCCTCTCTCCCCACCAAGCTTTCCACAGCTGAGGCCAGGCCACTTGCAGGAGAGGCCCTGGCCAAAAGTGCCACTGCTGTGCCCTCTGGTTCTGGTGCTGGTGAGCAGACACAGGAGGGTCTCACTGGGAAGCTCTTTGGCCTTGGTGCATCACTGCTGACCCAGGCGAGCACCCTTATGTCTGTGCAGCCAGAGGCTGACTCCCAGGGCCAGCCTATTCCCAGTAAGGGGCAACCCAAGATCGTCTTCAGTGATGCCAGCAAGGAGGCTGGTTCAAGACCTCTGGGCTCAGGGCCTGGGCCTGGGCCAGCACCTGGAGCCAAAACTGAGCCTGGGGCTAGAACAGGCCCGGGATCGGGGCCTGGAGCCCTGCCGAGAACTGGGGCGACTACCAGTCCAAAGCATGGCAAAGCAGAACACCAGGCAGCATCCAAGGCCGCTGCCAAGCCAAAGACCATACCGAAAGAAAGGGCCACCTGCCCACTGTGCCAAGCCGAGCTCAACGTGGGCAGCAAGGGCCCAGCCAACTATAATACCTGCACCACCTGTAAGCTCCAGGTGTGCAACCTGTGTGGCTTCAACCCGACACCCCACCTGGTAGAGGTAAGAAACCTGAACCAAGCATGTTCCCTTGGGCCTTAGCACAAGACCAGGGCCTGGGGTAATTGGGGGCATAGGATCCAGGAAAGGCTGCAGATAGCTGGGTCTGCAGTGGATACAGGGCTGCCCAGACAGTTAACACTGCAGAAAGACTGTTCTCCCTTTCCTGTCCCTGTCCCAGAGCCAGGTATTGACTAGACATTGGCAGGCACAGCCCTAGTCCTTCTACTTGGAAAACTAACTGGCACAGTGAGGGGTGGAGTAATGGTGCCCACTGCCTCTAACAGGCTGACCAGTACCCTAAGGCTTAGCTCAAAGGAAGCCAAACTCAGAAGGCCCTGAACTGGCCTCCCCATTTTTATCTACCATGGACCTCAATGAAAGATGCCAAGCTCCCCTGCTCAGGTAGGAAGAACCTGAGGCACTACCCTACCTCATATGGGACAGAGTGACTACAGGGGCAGGGAGGTGGAGGGCCATGGGGCAGCGGGCTGTGCTGTCCATTGTGCCCCATGCCTAGGGCAGGGTGGGAGGCTTTCTCACAGTGGGACTGGCCAGGTGGTATTTACCTTTTGTCTTCTCTTCTGAGATCAGAGGTGTTTAAATCTACTTAAAGCCACCACCTCTGTTCCACATATTTTCCTCTGGCTGGTCTGGGCTTCCCTCAGGGCTGCTTGTGGAGATGCTTAGAGGTATACATGTTACCCAGAGCAATTTTATTTATTTTTTTTTAAATTATTATTTGGGTGAAAGTTTACAGAGCAAATTCACTTTCCACAGCAGCTTACATACACTTTGTCTCATGACATTGACTCCAATTTACCGTAATGCAACAGCTCCCCTCCCACTTCCTCCCCATAGTTACTTCTTCCCTGTGTCCATCTGTCCATGCACCCCTGCCCCCTGAGCATAAACAGCCCTTCTTTCTCCCATGATTGTTCTCTCCAAGGAGTGTATCTACCTCAAGTAAATGTTCAACTCATATGCCTGTCTTTTGTTTGGCTGGAAGCCACAGGAGTGGATTCAATTCTAGACCTGAAGGGTAGCTAGGGGCCATAATCTCA